TGGGTATTATCCCTTAGATAACTTGACTTTGTATTCCATCATTTTGACTTAGTAACTTAAAATTTTGACTTTGAAACTCAGATTTTGAGTTAATTATCATGAGGATTTAATTATAAAACATTTTTTATTTCTTATACTGGCAGATATGGGCTTCCATAATCAAATGTTCAAGTATATGCATTTTATTTAAAATATGTGACATACTGACTGAGATATATATATATATATATACAGACCTTCCATCTAGGCCGACAGTCAGGAGGTGTGTAGCGTCCTCCCTCTGTCACATTGGGGTTTTCTTTCTGCACTCGTTCCATCGTCATCTGGGAGCTAAACTCGATCAACAAACGGCCCACTGAGGAAACAAGGAAAGAAGGGAAGAGTTAGCGAAATGAAGACGATAACGGAGGATGCTGAGGATAAAAAAAGAAGTGGAAAGAAAAAACAGATGTCAGTGAGAATGAAAGCAAGAGAGGGAGCGAGGGATGTAGGGAGTGAGGGACAGAGAGAGAGAGAGAGAGAGAGAGCTTTTAGCTTCAAAGCAATACTGTACGCGTATCAAAGCAATGTGTGCAGAAATAATGGTTTCAAGGGATATGCTGTGCATAATACAGCATTTAATAAGATGCACAGGCTTCAGAAAACATATATTCCTAAAAAATAAACAAAGACTTTGAAGTCAGTCAGTGTAAACACAACATGAAAGGTAATTACAGTGCTCAGTGATGAAGCCAAACCATATGTTATCACTACGAATCTATCCATCACTCCTTCGAGTACTGACGGATCAAATGCTCTCCAAGCGTGTGTGTTTGTGCGCATGAGATTGCGGGTTCAGACTAATTTAAAAGAAGGGTTGGTTTTAAATCTCTGGCCCGGACGGTAAATACAGACCCTAGTTCAGGGAGCCAGGATCATTAAAATATATGAGCAAGCTTTGCTGTTTGGGTTCCAACCAAAGCCCTGCAACCATAACCCTCATTTTAACCGACCAGAGTTTGAGCACTCATTCTCTAGCAAGATGCAAAATGTTACTCATTAGTGCATGTTTTTCCTCAATGTCAGTCTCAGAAAAATAACTCATTAGTTAATTTAAAAAAAATATATTACACAATGTTTGTCACTCAATAAATATTAAGGATTATTTCTGTAGTGTCATTTGATCAAGAATGTACCCATGATATACCTATATAACATACTGTTCTATATTTGTTGTTAGTTGTAATCAGTTATTTTAGGTGGACATGTTAGACATATTGTATTAACTCTGCTTCTAAGCAAAGACTGATACCATAGATGCCAAATACAGAGTATTTAAAAGGATAAGAGTGCCAATGTTCTGTGTATCAGAATAGATAAAACATAGATCTCCATTGTTTTCCAAAAACAAATCATCAACACATCAGTGTTCCTTCATTACAATGAACCTTGGCATTGTAGTTTATTTTGAGTCCATCTTACATACACTGTTCCGCTGCCATAAATACTCACTAGCACATGTGATTGTATGTATCAATCTACAGCTGAAAATAGCCCCAAACAATACTTGTGTTTGAGTAACATCTGTTTTAGGAAATTATTCATTTTAAATTAACAACATATTTCTGATCTTTTTTTAAAAGATTTACTACAGCTACATGCTGAGGTATACTTGAAACAAACAAGTTTGTATGACGACGTGTTCGATCATGTCAGTGTACATACTTCTTGTGAATGAAACCGAACAAGGAAAAAGCCTGCCTCCTTGGAGTGACACCTGAAAATGTTCAGACTGGCATCAGGACTCACATGGAGTTGCACTGTGCACACAAAAATGATTGAAGTAGTTGTTTGAATAATTAAAAAGGGCTTGAAAAATCCTGCATCCTTTTTCGCCTCCTCTCACCACCTTAAATCTGGGGCTTGTTGTATTATTAGTTTTGGAACGTCACCATCGGAAAAGTGTGTGTGTGTGGGGGGGCATTTCAGATGCTGTTTGATGATCTGACACTTTTATTTTAAGCATGCTGATGGCTTAAGTGCTGTTGACAAAGTAGGGGAGTTGGAAAAGTATTGAGAGATTGATTGCCGCATTGTTGGTTTTGGTCTTTTCAGAGGATTTGTTGTCAATTAGAAAAAAAGAGTGACATATTAAAATGATAGAATATTCTTGAAGACATTTTGGTGATCAAAACTACCAGATTCCTGTTTCCATTGATCAAAAGTACAGGAAATGTACGTTTCCTGTTGCCTAATATGTGTATGAGAGCTTTGTGCTGCAGAGAAAAGAGAGGGATGCGGTCAATACAGGTATATGAGTTAATAATCCACTTAGCATTGACGTATGAGTTTTGTGTTGAGAGGTCTCCTCCAATCAACGCTGCACAGGCGTGAAGTATGATCAATGGCAACAAGGTTACATGTTCATAACATACCTCTTTATCATACCACAAGAGCTGAATGCAAATAGTCCCAGCAG